GCAGTGCAAAGCCCCGCCCCACCCAGCAGCCAGACCAGGCACGCCTCATCAACAGAGGGAGCAAGAAGACAGTGGTCAGCCGGGGTGGCAGAGTGCAGGGTGGCAGGGGGCCAAAAGGGCATAGATGGGGGGCAGATAGGTGTGTGGGGGAAGCTGAAGAACACCTGTGGTTGTAAGTTTGAGCAGGATGCCAAGCACCTGAATTTTGATCACGTGACCGTGGGGTGCTGCCACAGCCATAACTTCAGGTACAGGTCATAAGTCCCTTCATTTAGCACCACCGTAACTTCGAACAGTCACTGAACAAATGGTCGTAAGTCGAGGACTACCTGTAATTATCTCAGTGTAACTTCTCAATGAGGCTGTAAAACTCTTTTTACAGTTTTAAAGGCTCTGCATTTACTCAGAATAACATTAAAGCGATGGGGGGGGGGTTGGATGGGGGGTTCAAATCAGTCTTGACTGCTGGCCTACAGGCTCTCAAGCATGAAATATACCTACCTTACTGAAATCTGTTGTTTTTGCTTCCTCTTCTTGCCAGCTAGGAAAGCCTTGATAATGACACTTGTACTAAATGACAACTTTTTGTTGGTGAATTATCATAGTTACTTTGCTGTTCCTATCAGTGAAGTCTTCTACATGTCTGTCTGATTATCTATCTATCTACCCTCACCTGATGGCTTCAGTATATATTGGGCTTTGATTTCCATGGTCCCCAGCCTCCATGGCTTACTGGGAATTCAGGAAGATGAAGTCCAGCAACAGTATCCTGCCCTACATCATCCATTCCTAATCTTTTTACTATATGGGGATCATACATTCATATTTGTGCTTGCAATTCTATCTTACAGTTGCAAAGCCTGGCATTATTCCTACTTGTGAATTCGGACACAGTGGACTGGCGCAGGTTCTTACATGCCGCTTCCCAGCCTTGGCCTATTCCCTCGGTAACAGAACTGCTTGAAACGCTGCAGAGATTTCAGGATGTGGATACAGAAGGGACTGGCTTCGTCACCTGGGAAGAATACGATCAGGTTCCAGACCTTTATATTTGCCCTTTAAGAGTTTGTGACTGTGAATCCTACTGAAAGCAATGGGAGAAGCAGGCAGCCAGCTTTATCTGGGTTATATTGTGAGGTCATTCACAATCACTGCCCATCAGTGCAAGCAAGATTTTATTTTGGCCAACCCCAGTCAAAGTGCCCCACCCTAAGGTTAACTGCAAGCCGAAGCCTCTTTTTTTAAACGTTGTGGGTGCTCAGCATTTCTCTGCTATGCACATGGACTTACGAGTTAAACATTGCATGCAATGAGGCTTACTTCTTAGTAAATATGTATAGAATTGTACTTTAAATGTGGTTTGTGGTTCAGCATGGGCCACTGTGTCTGTGCCTCTGAGTGTATGTGCTGGTATGTGTGAAAAATGAAAGCAACTGAATATAACTTGGTTTCATTCAGTGTAATTAATAAATTAAATAACTTCATGTTACCTTTAACAGAACATACTTTAAGTTTCATTCTGATTTGTAATACCTCCCCACCCTTTCTTCAAAAAGACAAAAAAGTCGAGTTCAGGTTCTCAAGAATGTCTGCGGTCCCAGAGGCATAGTAATATATAATAAATGGGTGCTTTCTGCATCCTGGCTCAGTAGATGCAATCAGAAGATCTGTGCTCACTCCTCTGAAGCATGTAAGACAAGGCAATGGCATGTTTTCCTAAAAAACATTGCAGTTCATGATAAACTGCAGTATCTCCTGTGTTCAGAATATAGGAAATAGGAAAAACCAAGGTGATGGCAAGTGTATGAACATCGCTATAAGTAATGCTAAAAAGATCACTTTATCTGTAACAATGCAGTCCTTGGCTCCAGTTGCTGATTTGTTTCAAGTCAAATATTAGTCTGCAATTATTTGCCTTCACAAATAATCAGTGTATGGTATTTAAGGTCCTAGATTAGGACCAGAGGAGCCCGGTTTTAAGTCAGCCATGGCTAAGTGGGCAACTGGCAGTCAGTCCCAATCTTTCCATCCAGCTTGCATTACATAATTGCCGTTGTTGGGAAAAAACAGAGGAGGGAGCGTTATATATGCCATCTTAAGTTCCAGGTGGAGAAGGAGTGAGAGAAAGAAAACGCTCTTATTTTAAGCAAATGTTGCAGTAAGGATCAATAGAGGCTGACCGTTTTTAATCATGAAAGATAAAATGAACGAAATGGCACCCAACAATTTTTGCCCAATCACATTCAAGCTGCTAACTGGAAATATTGCTAGTAACATCTGCAAAGACTCCATTTCAAATTCCTTATACCCTGTAGAGTAAAAGTGGAATTTTAAAAATTCTAGAGGCCCAAAAGAGACATTTTTGATTGGCAAAACAATTTTAAAAAAAACTCTAAATGGCATAAAACAAACCTCTGTGTGGCTAGAATTGATTACAGAAAGGTAATCACTACCCCACAGTTGGATTAAGAAACATTTAGAAATGTTTAGAATTCTTAAGAAAATGGAAAACAACACTAATGGCAAATACAGTAAAAGTTGGAGAAGTCAAATCAAAAGAGGATTTTTTCAAGGAGACTCTTGGTCTCCATTTTTAAAAATATGATTCTGATTCTATTCATGATAGAATCCCAAGCAAGGGATAAGTAAGTTTCCTGTTTGCTTTATGTCAGTGTTGTCCAAACTTGGCCACTTTAAGATGAGTGGACTTCAACTCCCAGAATTCCCCAGCCAGCATGGCT